TATATTGCAAAAGTCAGGAGGTCTGCAAAACCACGGTATGTATCTTACAATTTTAATTTAAAATTGACGTCTGATTTAATTTAGAATTTAATACTATTCAAATTAAAATTAATATATTCAACGCATTTAAAGTATTTGGGGATATGTTGAATTGAACTATAATACTGGAAAACTAGCAGCTACTATGTTTGGTGAAATAGCAGAACAGACACTTGGTTGTTCAACAGTTGAATTGATGGGACATGCTGGAGATGTATTTCTTAAATTTTTCTTCAGAACTTGATTTTTATTATAATGAGTTATTTAAAAAATAATTGGATTTTTTATTAATTATGTAAATCTATTCAAATTTTATTTTGTAGGAAAATCGATCATATGTTAAAAGCGTTGAAGAGAAATTATCAAAAGAAATTTGGAAGATTTAAGTTTATATAGATCCAGAGAAACTAAAGGAGAAAAAATATAGGCAGTTTAATGTCATCTCTATTGAAACAGTGTAAGGTGGGAAAAATGTTGAATCGTTATCTTAGAATTAAAATTATCTCAAACAACTTTCATAAAACTATGAGCGATATTTATTTATAGCACCATGTTATAAATTCTATTAATGCTCTTTTTTTAATATATCACGATGTGTAATTATTTATCAATTACATAAACATTACATCATTAGTATTTAATTAATCAAAAAAATTACATCTTTATTAATAAAAATTTAATTCTTAACCAAAAAAATTATATATAAACTAAGCAAAAGTATATTGCACGTTGCTTAAACCTAGTAATCAAATTAAAGAGGCAATTTGACATAATCTCACAAAAGAAAAATGAACAAAATAAATAAATAACCTATTTGGTGCACATTATAAAATCAAGAATGCATTTTTTTTATGATGCGATGAGAAATGTGTGATTAAAAAAGAAGGAAAAATTATTGATGTAATGGAAAATATTATTTTATTGAAAAATGTGTGGTTAAAAATGAATAAAAAAATGAGAATGAAAAAAATATCGTCAACCAAACAGGGCTTAAATTTCCTTCGCTCTCGGCATCGCTTATAACGGATCTCTCTCAGAGGGGGAAACCGCATCCAACAATCACCAGTCAGGCAGTCATTCAGAATACAGAGAAAACAAAGAAGAAGAATCTGATTACCGACCCGGCTAGGTTAGTGTGATTCTGTCACTATCTCTCTAGAAATAATGCTAATTTTGGCGTCAGTTTAAACAAATAAACGAACCCTACGCCATGAATTATCTCCAGTTCCGCAGACTCTGTACGTTTCTTGATTTAACAAACAAAACCCAGGCCACAAATTCTTTAGAACTTCCGGTACTGAGTAATTTCAAGAAAAGTGCCATTCCATTACCTCACAGAACAATCCCTGAACCCAAAGGCCAAGACCTTGATTATGTAAACATAGCTCACAGTCATGTAATCCACTCTGATTGGGATAAGCTGGAAAACTTAGCCTCTGGTTTGACCCAATTTAGAATTAAACACATTATGCTAAAAACGCGAAAAGATTACGTGCTTTCACTCGAGTTTTTCAAGTGGGTTGAGCTACAAAATCCTAAATTGAAGACCCTTGATTTACAATCCATAATCCTTCACATACTTACTAAGAATTACAAGTTTAAGTCAGCTGAGTCGATTTTAAGGAAAATTCTTGAAATGGGTTCTTTTGAGTTGGATTATCCGCGGAAGATTTTTGATGCTTTGTTGTATACTTATAGAATGTGCGACTCTTCCCCGCGTGTTTTTGATGCATTATTCAAGACCTATGCTCATTTGAAGAAGTTTAGGAATGCCACTGATGCTTTTTGTTGGATGAAGGAATATGGATTTTTCCCTACGGTTGAGTCATGTAATGCGTATTTGAGTGCGTTGAATGGTTTGAATCGTGCAGATATTGCCTTGGCATTTTATAAGGAGATGCAGCGGTGTAGGATCTCGCCAAATGTTTATACACTTAATTTGGTTATTGGAGCTTTTAGTAAGGCGGGGAAATTGGACAAGGCTGTTGATTTATTTAGGGACATGGACAGAATGGGATTAACCCCAAATGTCGCATCATATAATACTCTGATAGCTGGATATTGTAGTAGAGGACTGTTAAGTAGTGGGATGAAACTTAAGAATGTAATGGAGAAGAATGAAGTTTGCCCAAGTGATGTTACTTATAACGTGCTTATTAATGCATTCTGCAAAGAGGGAAAATTACATGAGGCAAACAAGCTACTTCTTGAGATGAAAAGCATGAATGTTGCTCCTACTACTATAACTTATAACACATTGATTCGTGGTCATGGCGAAGCAGGTAATAGTGAGATGGGTAGCCGGCTTTTTGACGAGATGGCAATGAATGGAATCAAGGCTGATATCTTGACTTATAATGCAATGATTATGGGATTATGCAATGAGGGTAAGACTAAAAAAGCTGCATATATGATCAAAGAACTTGATAAGGAAAAGTTAGTTCCTAACTCCTCTACTTTTGCTGCTCTTATTAATGGGCAGTGTGTGAGGAATAATGCTCAGCGTGCGTTTCAACTCTGTAAAAGCATGATGCGGAGTGGTTGTCATCCCAACGAACCAACTTTCAAGATACTAATACATGCCTTCATTAGGAATGGGGATTACGATGGAGCAGTTATAGTCTTGAAAGAAATGCTAGCAAGATCTATAGCCCCTGATTCAGGTGTGTTATCTGATATTTGCAATGGACTTCGCCAATGTGGTAAAGAGGGATTGGCCATGGACTTGTGCAAAGAGATAAAATCGAGACACCTTATGCCAGAAGGTGTTGGGATATACAGCCTCAGCTATAGACCAAATATCAGTAACACGTAACATGTAAAGAACATTTGTTTTAATGTCTTGGGCTAATGTTTTTTCTATGACATTTGTTGGCCAGCATATTCAAGTTATATATCTTAATGATTAAGGCAAAGCAATTGGATTTGTATATCTCAAGTACCACATAGCATTTCACTGTTTCATATAATGTTCTATAGCATGGCAGACAAAGTAACTGTATCTTTTTTGTCTCAAAGCTCGATCACTTGTGATATTACTGTTTGTGATTTAGGGTAAGAAACCCATTGGTAAATGGAGTTTGCATGAAATTTTATGATGGCCACCGAACTTCATTTCGTTCCAAAATGGTTACTTTAGTTTTTAAAATATTTCACTTGTGTCACCTGGTTAGTCTCCATCATATAATTAACAAAGTCATCTCTGCGGCAAGACAAAAATGCAATGTGCCATGTTTTTTCTGTTAACTTTTCTTTTAAGAGCAAACTGTGAGTCTGTGAATATCTTGTTGATGACATTTTTCTCCAGTACAGTATTTAATTGGTTAAGCCCAAATAGTGGTGTACCCTGTTGTACATAATACTGATGGTGAGGAAGGACAAACAGCGTGATTTAGCAGCATCTTACCGGACATTTATTACATGGGTCCTTTGCCGAACACTCTTTTCAACATCTCAGCAATATTTTCCATCCTGAAGCATCCTCTGTTTTCCCTCTAGCTCACTTCACTCCCACAAATCCGCAATAATTACACCACCAGTTTGGCATAAAAGAATGGTCTGTAGCTTGATATTTCAGTGAATATAACCAATAAAAGAATGTGTTTGAAACACACGTCCATCACGATTATTGCTTTTCTGGTATAAATCAAGGTACGTACTGGATCTTTTAAACAATTATTGCGATTGTGTTTTACTGTTCTTTCTAGCATGGTCAGCTTGTTATTTGATTCACCGAGACTCAAACTCTTGTTTACATCTGCATAATCGATACTTTCTCTGCAAAATATTGCTCAGGCTTCATAATGCAAAAGGAATGTGCTGGTCTTATTCTCATGGAAGCAGTGCTATGCAGGATGGTCCTTGTTACATGGACAAATAGAAGTGGATCATTTGCAGTTATCTCATTATAACATTCATCTTGTTTGCCTAAGAATAATTGATCGTGCTTTGCTAGAAATTGTGTTTTGCATGGTGGATTGGACCGCGTTGGACAAGAGAAATAAGGTGAAAAATCTAGTTGGTTGTACTGTTTAGTCTAATCCAATACTGTGTACCAAAGATGTCTTCACCTTGGTCTTCATAAGAATTAATTTGATGTCTTTATCTCCTCTTCCCTATTCACGAATTTATGGGTATCGGCTAACTATAGTCAATAGATGAGAGTGAGGAGCTCCGATACCCCATATATAAAAGTACTTTTGTCATATATTTGTGAATTATATTACATAATATGTGCTAATGAAGTTCTTTGTGCAAAAATCTAGATTTTTTTAATCACTTCTGTGGCTGCATTTGATGATTATCTAGACGATCTCGTAAATTTTACTAAAATGGTATATCGTTGTTTATATTGATTGTGCCGGTTGATCGAGGGATTATGTTGTCACAAGGTATCTAACTGATGTGAGCTTTAGTTGCACATACTTTATGGATAACATTTTTGTAAATACGATAATTGTGATTCGATTAATTTTATGTTGCTTATTACCACATGAAATTCGGAAATTAGAAATCTTGATGAAACATGAAGACGCTTAAATGGGCCGACAAAATAGGCCGAATCTAGTGGACATTAGCTTTAAGACTAACAGGCCAAGCCCACTTCTGCACATTTTGCTCTTACGAATTTTAGCCCTCAAGTCCGGTCTAAGGTGGGACGGACCTGAGGGTCAATATTTTCTTTTTTGAAGGTGTTCAAAATTTTGTGTACAAATTGAATTGTTGTTTGTAAAATACATAGCCTATTTGGTACAAATCAAAATTTGGATTTTAATTTAAGTTAAAATCAATAATTAATTTCAATCATATATTTTGTGGACCCCACGACTTTTCAACTACATATTTCATTAACTTTTATCAAAATATATTAAAAGTATAATGTGAAATGTGAAATTTGGTTCCAATAAACAATTTACAAGTACATGCATCACTATAGTCCAATCCTTTGAAGAAAGCGTCACGGCTCACTGGTCTAGCCCCATGACACTGAAAATGTATCAGGGTTGAAGCAATCATCAAAACAACGAGACCTTAAAACTTCTTTTTCAAGTGTGAACAGTGGAACGTTTTGTCATTTGGGGAATGTTTGAATATATTTTCTAAACAAGTTCCCTACTTAAGAAAGAGATAAGGATAAAATTTCATTATACTTCATTTCTTTTCTGAACAAATCGAAAAATCTAATGAATCGAACTTATCCTCGAATGCTACCTCTCCTGATGCATTAATGTGGTAGTTTTTTATTATTTCATGCATCAAATAATTAACTGCTACATATATGTTATTTAGGTTGATTACGGTAGTGAGCAATTGCAAATAATATTACCTATAATTTAACAAAAAAATGAAGTCTATAGAGGTGGATGTTATTTTTCAATTTTTCAAAATGTATTCAATTTTGGCCAAAATTCCTCCAGACAAGGGCTAACACTAATAATGTCGTTTACTATGTCATCAAAAAAATAGTTTGACATTAAGGCCCCGTTCAGGAGGGATTAAAAGTCAATTAAAATTAAAAATATGGCCGTTATTGGGTCTCACTCGTCTAATAAAAGTCAACAATAACGACTATATTTTCAATTTTAATCCCTCCCATACAAGCCTAATAATGTAGTTTACTATGTCATCAAAATTGTTAATCTTGAAATGGAAGGATCCTCTACCTACTTTTTCTTCCTATAAAATATAGTGATAATTTTCAACCGACAATATAATTTTTACTGTAATAATATTTTTACACGAGGAGGAAATAGGACTAAGACTAGTCGAAGTAGGTGGGGGTCCCCCGAAACTACATATACTCTAGGCCTCACCTGATAACCTGACTACTGTTACTTTTCTGTCACATTCATGCTTCAGAAAGTCGTACTTTCCAAAAACAAAAAAAATAAAAAAAAAATGATATTGGCAGCAATGAGGACAAGAAACAAAACCTTACAATATTCATTCAAATATTCTTGTTGACTAATCTTTGGAAAAGACAGTGGCATGCATGCCACAATCTGGACCCCACTTCACCAGTCAAAAAGCTACGGCTATTGAATAGTACTTGCTAGTGTGGTTATTGACAAAATGAAACACAACAACCATTCCTCTTGTCTTTTACCCGTTGTCTCGACGCCATTTTAAAGAAAATTAGAGAGAAAAAATATCTGAAAGCAGTTAAAACATGGAAAACAAGCGTTTGAATATGATTTATTTATGTAAAATTTTATAAAATAAAAACGTAAAATTCTAATGAATAAAATTTTAAAAATAAAAATTTTGAAAAAATATAATCTAAAATTCTAAAAAATAACAATATGAAAAAAAAAATTCTAGAATAAAAATATAAAAAATAAAAATAGTCCAAGCTTTACGTAAAAATTCTAAAAAAATATGATAAAAATATTTTGAGTCCATGCCAATAATTTTTATTTTTTATATTTTGACCTTAATTTATTATTTATATTTATTTTACTGTTATAGCAAGAAAAATATACTGTAAAACTCAAGAACTGTAAAATGTATATATTATTTGATAATATATTAAAATAAAATTATTTTATTTTTACTGAATAATCAAATTTCATGGAATAAAATGTCATAAAATGATTTTTCAAAATTTCAAACCAAATTTTAATTTTCTATTTTAAGAAATAAATTTTCAAAATGATAAACTAAACATATTTTTAACAATTTCCAAGCAAACTCTCAAAACGGAACTAAAAATATACTCAAAATTGAAAGCTGAAACGCAAACCAAACGAGCCTTGAGTTTTTGGAAAAAATTGGGACCAAACATAGACTTAGAGTGTGTTTGATGCACATTTTTTAGGAGAGAATGCATTTTTTATATGATATGATGGAGAATATGTGGTTGAAAAAGAAGGAAAAGTTATTGATGTGATGAAAAATATGTGATTAAAAATGAGTAGAAAATTGAAAATGAAAATGTGACTCAGAAAAGGACTTGAGTGATGACAAATGTCAAGGTTATTTTGAGACAAGTTATAAATTGGATCGAGCTCACTTTTATTTACAAGTTGACCTTATGAGGAAACTCATGAATGGTTTGACTTCTTGATCTCATGGACGATTTGTTTGGGCTCGCGAACGACTCAACTCGTTGAACTAATGAGTCAAAGAGTCGAGCTTGGGTGTCGACGGGTCGGCTCAATCTAATGCCATCCCGAGGATGAAAATAAATAACAAAATAATTTAAGTTTAGAGATAGATGTTAGCTACGTAGAGGTGTACAATAGAGGAATTGCCATGTGACTTTATGAAGATGTGATAGTCGAGTATAAGTAGAACCTTTCCACTTGGATACATTGGACAATGCATAATTTGCAAGTCACCTATACATAGAAGTCCTAGTTGTGATAGTCGAGTATAAGTAGACCCTTTCCACTTGGATACATTGGACAATGCATAATTTGCAAGTCTCCTTTTCATTGAAGTCCTTGTTAGCTAAGTACCATTCGGACATATTTGACTTCTAGTTAGGCTTTGATGACTTGATGGCGACCAGCTCTCCTTGATCGGGAGATTGATAATTGCCGCCACACTAAGAATAATATCATGTTCTTCCAATTATTTCTAAAATGTATTTTTCTGTTCTTTTTTTTCTTCTCAATTACACATTTTTCAATAAAATAATATTAAACGAAAATTCAAAAAAAAAATCTCATTTTTTATATATACATTTTCCATCAATTTATTATTCCAAAATGAATTTTTACAATAAAATGGAGCCCGAACAAGCTCTATATATTTCATGGGATATTGACCAAATGATTAATTTGAGAACCCGTTTGATTCTTATTATTGTAGTTATTGTAGAATGAGAATGAAAAATATAGCTGTTATTGAGCTCTACACAAGAGATAGAAATTTAAAATTAATGGCTTGATATGATGGATAACGGTCATATTTTTCATTTTTATGGATGAAAAATGAGAAACAAACGGGCCCCAAGTGTTAAAAGTAATTTAAGCCTAAAACGAAAGATATTGCATGCTTAAAAAAAATGTTTAGTTACTCACATGAACATATTTAGTGTGGGGGCAGTGGGATTAGCTGTCTTCACACAAAATTTCAAACTTCGTCCAAAATTTTTATTAAAAAAATTATAATTTTCATTTTTTGTCCTCGTAATTCTTTTATTCTAACTTCATCCCTAGTTAATCAATAAAATCATCAAGACAAATCGGAGGATTATTTTTCTTAATTATTAGGTTCTAAGTATGAATAAATAATCATATCGACCAAAAAAGTTAGAACAAGAAGTGAAATAAAATTTCATTAAGTTAAACTCATTTAATCATCAAAAGCATGCTGGATTTTTCTTCCCTCTAATTGAGGATGTAAAAGATAAAAAAATAAACAAAAATATTATAGGAACTAATTAACTCTTTGCCCTCGATAAACTCAATGAAATAATAATGCGATATGGTAAATTTATTTTAGAACTTAGCTAAAATTAAAATTTATGTCAAACGTTCACCATAAGAATTTAGTCTTTTCACGTCGAGATTTTTACAGCGGGGATTTGTTTTTCCCGTAACAAAGTACTTTTTACTACGATATAATTAACTTTAATATTGAGCTATATATTTATGTTATTTGTCAAGATTAAATTACTTCGTAAATAACATTAATTCTACCAAGATCATCTTTTGCCTCCCATACATTTAAAATTCTTCCTAATTCACCGTGTAATCCCTCTCTCGAAACTTCTATCCATCGCTTATTTCACTCTCAAAAAAGCCTCAACCCGTGTTTTCAGTTTTGTATTTCTTGTTGAAGTCGCGTTGACGTTTTCAACAAATTTGTTTCCTTACTGCCCTTTCCACACACTCACACATATATAAACATCATTAGAAAAAGTGACTACATCATCGAAATTTTTCCATCACATAAAGTAATCACTTTTGCCTTATTATTTAGTTGTGTAATTATTTGAATTAATATAATTGAAATTTATTTAAATATGAAATTCTTTTTTGTTATTTTATATGTTGATTGAGTTATTTATTTAAATCACAATTGAATTTATAATGTATTTGCCATTATAAATTTATTGTCGATGTATTGTTTATGATGGATTTCTTAACCACCATTAGACCATCACAATTGAATTTTGGGACGACATTGGTCATTTTGAGGTTATTTTAGAAAAAAAAAATTATATCTTTTAGTGATTATATCTTTTGGGACTATGTAACCTTAAAAACGTCGTAGTTTCAATGCATTTTTAAGGTTACATGACTATGACGTTTGTTAATTTCTCAAAGAAAAAAAAAAAGGTGAACCCAAAATTTCCTATGTAATACGCAACTCGTGAAATTAAAATGATTTAAGCAAAATTTGCTCGCGATTAAACTCAACAAGTGAGTTTTACTTGTGATAATTAGTTTCAAGTCATTGTTTTTTCTATAAATGACTATCGTGACAGACAAACTCACTTGGAAAAATTTACTTTCAATTGAAGATTGAATGATCCAATCGATAATTTGTACAATTGTAAACGTCTATTGAAATGTGTTATGAGTGAAAAAACATGTTAGAGAGATAAAGTTCGAGATACCACTCGATCTTATAGTATCACCTTCCAAAGAACCCATTTAGAGTGTTATTCAACGAAGCAACACATAATAACGACTACAATAAACTAATGAAATTATTTTAGACCAAATTTTCTAACTCGAGAACATATTTAAAGCATTTCTTAGAGTCCCTATAAAATATAATATTTTCTATCACATTGTTAATTTTTAATTGTGTTTTTTGAGCGTACATAACTTTTTGAGACCACACTCTCTTTCGAATAATTCGATGATTCGTTGAAATTTATTAGGTGAGGATACCTTCATATGTTCGAATTTTAATAAATCGATAATAAGGTTAGCTGCCTGATTTTCCATTGAGATTAAAGTAAAATTTGTTACTTTATTTGCCTAATTATATTTTAAAAGTAAGTTTGCTTTGCGAGGTCCTTTCATTTGGCTCTATAACTAGATTTCTTGAACCCCTCTCAAGAGTCACATTGGGCCCCCGTGTGTCTACTTCTCTGCTTTTCTTTCGTTGTCTCCAATCTGCAGTTTCTTTCATTACTACTATACATACATACATGTCAACATCATCTTCAACAAGAGGAGATGGCGGCGGCGGAGGAGGGCGCGGCGGCGGCGGAGAGTTTGAAGGACCATCATCCTCTCGTAGCCGTAGACGCTCAAGCGATGGAGTATGGCCAGAACCTTTTGTCGAAGCCCTTGCATTTCAAGTTGCCATTGATGCCTCTACCTCTATTGGCCGCATTGCTGCAGCCCGAGCTCTCTTCAACCTATTTCAGGTGCACCCCTTTCCTCCTCCAACCCCAACCCCACCCCATTTTCTGTATATATATATATATGTGTGTGTATGTATTCATGCATATGTGTAACAGTGTAAGTTAAGTAATTATGTTTGATTGAACATAAAGAAATGGATAAATTTTTATTAATATGATCGTGATAAGGATGTCATTATTATGGGCACGAGCAAGAGAAAATACTTCTAAACTTGTCACTCAGCTCCATAGCACACCAGACAGGTTTTTTCTAAACTCGAAAAATGTTACTGTTTCAAAAGTTTAAAGTTGAGTTTGTTTCTCTAAGTTTATCCAAATCTTTGACCAAATCAACATAAAATATAGCAAAATAATATGAAAAAAAAAAAAAAATCACATCTTTTTTTGTACTCATTTCTAAGATTTATTTTTAATTACATTTTTTATAAAAATCACATTTTTCAATAATTTTTTTTT